CAACACTCACAATCAAACAGGAGCCCCACCCAAATGCCTCCCCAGCAAAACAGAAAACGAGCACGAGCTGAGGTTAATGATCAGATTAGAAGTATTCCAATGCTGGTACAAGCAGTTCTTTTCCAAGATTTTAACAGGATCTTTGGCAAGCAAACAAAAATTGGGAGCCGTTGCTTGAGATGGGGAGATGTTTCCCTACACAGAGATCCTAAGACTGGCAGTGAGAGGCTGATTTTAAAACGTGGTGGTTCCAGAGCCTGTGGAGGCCAGGGAGAGCATCCACTGCAACCCAGGGCAGTAAAATTTTACAAGATCTTTGAAAAGAGAAGGCCGTCTGAGGCAAAAAAGGTTGATTCTTCGTTTTACTTAGCAGTGAAACCTAAGGTGAAGAATGAAGATCCTGTGTGGTACATGAACAAACCACAAGCGGTGAACAAAATTGGTAAATGCCAAATTACCCAGGATAAATCAGCAAAGCGTCTTCGTCATTAAATGTGTCAATGGCTGTTTTCACACTAGGGACAGATTATCCGACAGATTATTAGAGGCAGATGAATAGTACTTATGACCAGGTTCACCAAATTAAATGATTCTGTAAATAAGTCAGAAATAATTTGGCATGTTTCTTTTTTTGTTTGGTTTTGTATGTAAATTATAAAGCCAACAAACTGTCAAGTAGCTTTGAAGACATTGGATTCCTGAACACTGTAGTTTATGTGATACCATAATGTAGAATTCCAAAAGTAATGGCCCCTGTTACTTTCAATTGTAGTATGCAAAGAGGGCCGCTATTTTAGGGTAGCCGTTACTTTCAGGTAGTTGTTACTTTCCGATGGTTAAAAAAATGTCCAACTTGGTAGTTTACAGTAGTTTCAGAAACTTATTAGCATTATTGAATTTAAATGTCTTTCCATTTATGCATGTTACTAGCCACATGAACAGTCTAGAAGAGGCCCTAAATGTTGGTACTATAGGGCGATAGACAGTTATGGGTTCATTTAATCACGTGTTACTATATCTTTTGACTCTTGACAAATACAACTTTAAATCATGCATAATTTAAAGAAGGATTCAGATAAGTTTGAGATAGAATCACAAATGACTCATCACGTTGTTTAGTTGAGACAGTTTCGTATTTGCAGTACCAGAGTTCAAAGATTTTCACATGTAATTGTTAAATTGATTCGTTATTATGAATGGTACAGGTTGTGATATTTGGCTTTCACTTAAAATTAACAAGAAAAGAGGCTTTTTTTTCTTATTCCTGTTACAACAAATGTGACGTTAAACATTTTTTAAAATTGCTTTTTATATGTGTCGAATCCTACTTCAAACAATAACAAAAAAAAGGTTTCACCAAGCATTGCAGCATTATTGTAACATAGACAAAACTTGATTGTGTAACCTGCCAAGCAATAGTTGTTACTACTTTTTTATGTTGTACATAAATTTCCTCTTAAATGAGATTTAATGTTCTCTTAGTTAAGTTAAATTTAGATGCTAGGATGCTTAGCCTTGAATAATTATTGTAATACGCTGTTAGGGGTTTGCTTGGTGACAAATTAAATTTGTGTATAGATGGTTTTAATAGTGACGTCATCAAATTGTAAAGTCAAAATAGCAAGGTTTTACAAATTCCTATTTACACTAGGTTGAAGATAAACAAAAAGTAAATCTTTGTGTAACAGGACGGGGCAGTCAGCGGCAGGAACGAGAAGGATTCAAGGATTTTCCAAAGCAATTTATTTGAAACTCAAATCCATCAGCAATACAGCAACAATAAAATAAAACAAAATAAAATAAACGGGAACTACTGAAAGATTAAGGTGGCTCCGTAATTAATACTGGAGCATTTTGCTGTGACAAATTTTCCGTCATAACTTTTTGTTTTTTAACGCGATGGCTGCGAAACTTTGCAAACAGAAACAGATATCATTCGGCAATAAAACGAAATATTCCGATTTCATTGATGGTAAATATTTCTTGAGAAATTAGCTCTTAAAAGGACCCTACTATTCAAAGAAAATCGCGTCTAGTAAAAAATTTTGCTGATATTTTTTACTGAAATTTCTGGTATCGGCTTTCATTGATATAATAAATATGCGAGAGGAATTTCGGAAAAATCGTTGGAGCAGAAGTCCGTAACTAAAAGTGGCTCAAAATTCAGCTTGCCCGAATGGCAGGCTGTAAAACTGACTTTCTTTGCACCCAGTGCTCATCAGCAATCTGTTTTGGTACCAACAGCATTTGTGTTGTCTGATCATAGGCATCCACACTTCAGGAATCTCAATTCCACTGTCCCTGTGGATGCTGTAAGGATGAAGTCTTACGTGCATAACCCCTAACCCTAAGAGAGCACCAGTGAAGTTGACCTTGTCCCGAAGTGGATAATGTCTGATCTTTTAGGGTGGGAAAATGAAATTATCACTGTCATCACTGGTGTAGACTTTCTGACTGAAGTTATGGTGAAATTACTGAATCACTGTTTTTGCTTAGTGTAGTCACACACTTCTCAGCATGGAAAGTGTATAAATTTTATCATTTGTGGGGATGAGCCGCTTTTAAAGGTATCCGAGAGGGGTGTCTTATTATTCCTGGGACTTATTTATGGGACAAATATATATCACAGTGAACTATCTTAACAGACATTCCTATTACACAGACACCTCTAAAAACATTCCTTTAACCTTTATATTTGACTTTCCGTAAAGTAGTTTAAAGTACCTGGGCAGAGTGGTTGACCTGTGCAAATAATTTATTGGCTATAACTTTGGCACAGATCATGGGCTGAATCAAAATTTGGCACCCATAAAGAACTCATTGTCCTTTACATTTTGAAGTATAAATATTGTACAACTCATGTGATATATCATGTGACCATTTTGCTAACAATCTTAACTGACAAACTTTTGGCGGGTTTAAAGTGCCCATCACCTAAAATTTTACATTTTCTTATCTGAAACTAAACCTAATTAAAATAACTTCTGCGAAAAAAATTTTGAAGTTTGAACAAAACGCGATTTTTTTACCAATTTTTGAAGTCTACATTTTTGTGGTATACCCACGCCGCTGATCATGCAAACTAGCAGGCTCACATATGACGTCATGTGACGTAAATTAAGGAACTCGCATTACCTTGCCTTCACCAGCTGTACGCAAAAAAGATAAATTGCAAATAAGGATTGAATCACAATGTCTTCGTAAGAAAAAAGTTTTTCTTTAAAAGACAAAACTATCAGAACTCTTAATGTTTTCCTCTCGATAAGGTCACGTGTTCCTTAAAGTACGTCATATGACGTCATAGTCCGAGAGAAGACTAAGACGAATGGTGTGGCAAAATGGCGGCAAATTTGAACGTTTTTAAAAAATTCAAAAAAAATCGTATTTGGTTCAAATCGCTAAATTTTTTCGCAGAAGTTATTTTAATAAGGTATCCAATCCAATGCGACAACTTCCTTCGTTTTCAATTTTTGGTCACGTGACCATAATTAAACGTCAAGGCACAAGAGGACCTCAAGATTTACTTTTGGGAAAAAATTCATTTTTCTCTATGTATCCTAGCGAGAGATATTGCCAATCATCAAACACTCCTTTGACCCAGGCCCTCAACCCCTTGAGAGGCAGCTCAGGCTAGGCAGTGTTGGTAAGTGAAATGTCCTCACTGTTTTTTTCTTTTGAGTAAGTCTAGAATGGTCGATGCCCGATCTGGGAAGACATGTTACTTTAAAATAGTGTGATTAGAATCGCTTCTTTTGTTGATCTGTTTTTCTTTTTTACGCACTGGGTTTTGTGAGCATTGGGGTCATAGTAGCTATTATAAAGTTAATTTTTCCCCCCGCTATTTTGAGCATTTTTCGTGATTTAATGTTCATTTTTTGCCTTATTCAATCTACCTAACATTTCCGTTTTTTTATAATTGCGATTGTAATTTTCATGCAATACGTGCGCGTACTCTTATCGCAGATTGCAGATGTTGGCGCGTGTAGAAACGGTTTCAAATATTACTATTTCCACAATAAAACATACAATTCTGCACCCAACCTCTACGCCGGTAGTTCTTCACTTTTCCAAGAGCTAAAAAGTAGGTCAATCGCACTCTTTTAATCTGCGATTACTCTTAGCTGTTAATCTGTACATAAATTTCGTATCAGAGGTTGAACATTTTCTAGCAAGGTCAAAAATTGAAATGTGCCAATTTTTCCTCGAGAAATAGGTTGTTATGGAACTAGGGATTAATCGTTAAGGACAGGACGTAAGGCGCACCGTTTTGTACTGCTTAAATGTAATATGTCAATACGAGAGTTTCTAACGAGTTCGCATTCCGTTAGATGCACTAAATGCTCTAAGTCCCCATACTTGTTTGTTTGCCTGTTGTTTTTTTCTACCTTTACTTGTCTTCTCATGTTTTTTTCTACCTTGTTTCCCCTTAAAAGTGTCATTTTTATTACAAGTGTGTATTAAAGTAGGGAAGTCGAATTAACGTGATCATTTTCGGGGGTATATATGTGAAAGGATGTCCTCAGTTTTTGTTGCAGGTACTCTTCAAAAACCACATGACTGTCATTCGGCTAATATTTTTAACACATTCTTTTATTAAATACGTTATTTTTTAGCTAGTGACTGTATTTGGGCAGTTTTGTCCTCACATACATGGAGCCCTGTAGAATTCTTGAATTGATATTTTCTTGAGATCTTCACGCACGACACGACAGCTAATTTGCCATTCTGCTGTCTTGCTTGATATCAATGATTATATATCTCTGAAAGCCCCTTGCAAGGCATTGTTGGCCAACAAGTCCCAACATTGTTGGAAGTTACATGTTGTGTCGGTTTGCACACCCTGTTGCATGTTGTTGTGTGTTGTTGGGCGGTTGTTAAGCAAAGTTTGAAACCGGTCAAACTTTTAGCCTTATTCAAACGGATGCAACATTGTTGGCCGGCACCTCCCAATATTGTTGTCAGTTGTTGCGTCTGCTTGCACGTAGCTCTAAGTATGCTAAGGCACAATAAATCATACCGTGGATCTGACTCTTTTACACTGAATCAAAAGGACATCCTAATTTTTCTGAAGAATCTTTTGAGCACAAAACGCACTGTCTCAGTTGATACAATTTTGTACCACAAGTTTTTTCGTTCTTTTCTCCCTTTTTTTCTCAGCTCAGCACTTTTATCTTTGATATAAAGACAAAAATAAAGTGTAAGGGAGATCAATACATTATTGAAAACTAGAAATAACCAAAGGTTGCGGAGTGCAGGAACAACGATGCAAGATGAAAACTCTTCAACTCCAACGCTGTGCTTTGCGCAAGTTTCACGTGATGGATGGTCCAAACAAACGTGATCATATTCCGAGTGACAGAAGATCCAAATGCGAGTGATCAAATTGTGTTCTTTGAATTCCATTCATTCTTAGTCCAAACAAATGCTGGCTACATACATGCGATGCATGCATAATAACAACTTGGAGATTAGGATTGCGGGTTCCTCTCTTCGCCTGCAATAAAATGGTTTTTGTTAATAAGTCCGCGTTGCATAAATTAAAAATATGACCTACTCGACCTCACTCTGAAGGCCTCAGAAGTGTCTCATGTTTTATTTTTGTAGTAGGTTGGCTGATCAATTAAATTCCTAAAAAGTGCAATTCACTTTTTATCAAAGTATAAAAATGAAACATCTTATCTTTGCGAAGGTGAAAAACGGCATAGTCTCACACAAACAAGCGAGCAAAAAGACCAGCTATTCCTGTCCTCCATGTTGAATTTTCCTGAGTAGCCTGACCTTTCAAATTCAATTAGCCATTTCGGAGTTGCGAAGGGAACTGGGGCGAGTTTCAAATTTAAACTAATCGATAAACTGACACCACCATATAAAATTTTATATTGAGATTGTTCATTTGACCAAGTTTGGTGCTCTAAAGTTGAACAGGGATCAAGTTATGACTCTTGAAACATCGTTAAAGATCCATACAAACGTCTATAATTTTGTGACAGCGTCCCCAAAAACCACATAAACTCTTTAAAATTTTTCAGTTTTTCTTTTAAACTGTAAAATCCGTCATGCATCTACTACTTGGAAAGGAACTTATTCGAAAATCACTGTGTTTGCCCATTTTTAGGAATATCACAGAAATCTTGAAAAAAATTAACAGTTTATATGGTTTTGGGGGACGCTGTCACAAAATTACAGAAGTTTGTATGGATCTTTAACCATGTTTCAAGAGTCATAACTTGATTCCTGTTCAACTTTAGAGCACCAAACTTGGTCAAATAACCAATCTCAACATAACCTTTTATATGGTGGTGTCAGTTTATCGATTAGTTTGAATTTGAAACTCGCCCCAGTTCCCTACGCAACTCTGAAATGGCCAATAGCGCGAGCTTGCTGTATATTCCCATTGAGCATGCTGATGACCTCAATAAAGTATTCCTCGAGTTGTTGTGAGCTTAGCAATCCTACCAAGACGCCTCCCATAAGTGCAACCATTACTCAAAGGTACACGATGAAGCGTTTACCATGTGTGTTATAAGGTAATTTAAGAAAAAACTTTTGAATTTTTTTAATCGATAATAGGGAAAGGAAGTAAGTGTTGTTGTTGTTGTTGTCATCTCCGAGCTGTGCTTGTGCAGATAATTCTTTGCAAAGTTTTTTGTCTGAAAAATAATTTTTCAGTGAATTAATAGTTTTGCGGCGCCTCGATATGGATTTTGAAATCTTTTTAGAGTACACTTTCTCTCAGTTTCAGGACAAAAACATAAGCTTAACTGTGCGGAAAAAATATATAGTCACTTACACATTAACGCGCACTGCTTTGAGCGTTGCGTTGATCGCTTTGATAATGTTATAAAACAATTGGTTTATGCTTCAGCGGTGCGTATGTCGAGATATTGAGCACTTGGGAAGTTTGGAGAGCACTCAAGAGGCTAGAGTTGCTCTCGGCTGCCTCTCGAGCAACTCTTATGCCTCTTTCGTGCTCTTTAAACATCCCGAGTGCTCAATATCTCGACATAAGCACGTTGACGCCTGAACTAATTGTTAAGTATCTCAATAATATTAGTGAAGAGGTTTGGGAGTGTCAACGGGTGCATGTATAATATTGTCTGCTTTTAACTCAAAATTAATTCTGCCCTTCACTTGGCTTTGACAATTAAGAATCATTCACACACTTTGTTGAAATATTTTCATAAAATCTCTCGACAAAGTAGGTAACAGGTATTTTATAGGGTTTGTCTTGTGCTACTGATAAGAAAATGGAAATATAAACGTTTTCTCCCTACTTTGAGTCTTTTCCGGACCAAAACAAAAGGGCCATGACCCCTCCTCCCAAGGGCACAATGTGCCTCCCCCCGCACACATTTGAGTGGGGTTCATAGCTAAAAATAGTCATAGTCGGTACAACTTTTACTATCACTGTGCTGAGTTTGATGCTTTTACCTCAAAGTGCACAATTCAGCTATTTTTTTACACCATATGGCTGGACTATAACTAGAATTAGCATTTACAAGGTTTCTCAGCTTAATTAGCAAAAGTTTTTAGCAATAACTGGGCTCGTCTGTTGGAAAAGAAACACGCTTGATGGTGATCTCAAAACACCAGTACGGTGTACCATTAAGTGCTTATAACTAGAGATAATCATTGATTACGGAAACGAAATCGAGTCGAAAAGAGTCCAGTTTCGCTAACGAGATGCCCCTTATAAAATCAGTAGGGGCGGCTGATCGGCACCTCGAAAATTTGTGGCTATGTACCACAGGAACACTGAGATTACGATGCGTTCTGTCGAAAGCGATAAACGTTTTTATCTTGTTTGTATATTTTTAGATATTTGACAACTCGAACTGTGAAATCTGAAAATGGCATCTACTTCACAGACATTTCATGGATCATGCAAAGTGAAAGTTACTATTCTGGCTTCTGAATTGGGATCAAGCAAAGAGGAGCTTTCTATTTTGAACAGAGAGTTAGCCATTCAGTTAGCCAAACGTCCTGAAGTGGAAATCACTGTCTTTTTGCCACAATGCAGCCAAAAGGACAAAAAGGAAGCCCTTAAATACAAAGTCAAGATCGTGGAGACAACACCCATGCCTGCAATCAGGGACAAAAGTAGTTGACACACTTGTTTAAAACGGGTGCTTTTAGTAAACATTTAATTCATCTATTATTTCATTCTTTTTAAACGCCGTAAATCCCCTCACCCCCCGAATCAATGTTGTCTGAAGTAAAAAAAAGACTTGAGGGTCCAAAATTCAACATTGATTTTGGGGGGGAAGGGGTTGGGGTAGACAGGGGAATGGGATAAGTATATCCACTATGCAAAAAGGGGCCATTTTACGGAAGTGTGCCAACACTTTTGTCCCTCATTGTCTGAATGCAAAATTGTGCTACTGCACACAAGTTGAGCCGTGCATGACACTGATTTTAACTGAAATTAAAGAAATCAAAGACATAATTATGTTATTGGTGGTGGGGGTGACATTGACTTATTCACGACCGAATTATAGGGCCAATTGGAATTACGTGATGACGTAATAAAAGGGCTGCGATATCCAGAATTAACGTCGATATGGTTTACAAGCTAAAAACTAACGCTGAAACTCGCGCACATGTACAACTTTTGATGAATTTCAAGGGTACGCGTACTGAAAATGTTTTTAATAAAGTGAATATTTCTCGTTCTTCACTTTATCCGATGGTTAAGGCGCAAACAATCACGGGTAGGGTAAGGATTGACACGTAGTGGGGATAGTCACTGGCCGGCCACGGAAATATGGAGCGTTAGTGCGGAGCGGCCGTCACTGCGTTCAATATCGAAACTACGGAAAAGTGAAGGTAAATTCATGGCCAATTCAATAAAAAACTAAGGACAGCGTAGCAAACATTGCAAGTGTCCACGAAAACAATTACTTTCAATCCCACCTCGTGACACCATGAGTGACATGATAACGCAACGCAAATAGCGTGACATGAGCGCATATGTCTGTGTATTTGGACTGTATTTCTCAAGCGAAACCCTGTGTTTTTGTCTATTGTCGGCAGAGAAAATGAAAAGAGAGCTTTGAAACGTGAACTGGTATTTGACTCTCAAAGAAAACGACAGCTCAAACTGAGGAAAACACTGCTTCCTTCGTGTTACAACGGTTAACCACGTTTCGGAAAACGAAAAGTAAAATGAGTCTGTTATGACCTCTTAATGTCCATATGTATTCTCGTGGTTAACCGTTGAAACTCCTTATTTGCACCACATCGCTGGAATTTTTCTTGCCAAGAATACGTATTGCGAAGTACTTTCTACATAGCGGAATCTTCTTTTGCCTTTCGTGAGGAATTAGCGCATAAAAAAGGAAAATTTTCCAGCGCACGGCCGTCATTGATCACATGTTATCCCGCTTTCCTTGTCATCAAGTGAACTTCTGGGCAAAAGTAATTGCTGTTTTGGCGATGACGCAAACTGGTGTGTCTATCTTGAAAACAATTTCTTTGGTATTCTGTGATTTACGAGCTGGGAAATGAAATAGTTGTCCATCCAACATCAATAAAAAAATTATGCCACTGAATAAATGGCAGGCGGTCATCTAAAATCATTACAAAAGTACATTCCAAAACCTGGTCTAACCTGTTCGACGCCTACCTACGCTAAAGGTTTGGATCACTTAGGTTTGAAAAGGTCTCCAAAAAAAACACACATCTATATATAGGACATAGCACAAACGGCTGGCCCATCATTTATGAGGTTCATAACCTGTATATTGTTCACGTCCTTTCACTAATGGCACAAGTCAATGTCAAAAATAATGCATGTCCCCTCAGTTACTCTGCAGTACTTCATTCGCTTAAGTTAATCATTTACCAGAACAATTTCCATTGCACCTTAGTGTTTCCATCCTTTTTCCACTATTGATAATACTTGTGAAAACATTACATCCGCTGCAACGGCATTGATCATAACACAAATGATTTCCTCTCGACCCCACAGGGTATCAGGAACGCGCGCGGAAGTACAAGATTAAGTGATGACATACGCTTCGTACATTTTACTCTACGTATACTACAAATCAGGACGAAACTTTACAAATTGTTGTTTCTAAAAAAAACAATTTGGCCCATAGAGTAACGTCATCGCACAAAAATTCAGCAGCGTCAAAAATCTAGCCGGAAAACACAGATACATATTTCAGACAATCAGGGACAAAAGTAGTTGACACACTTGTTTAAAACGGGTGCTTTTAGCAAACATTTAATTCATCTATTATTTCATTCTTTTTAAACGCCGTAAATCCCCTCACCCCCCGAATCAATGTTGTCTGAAGTAAAAAAAAGACTTGAGGGTCCAAAATTCAACATTGATTTTGGGGGGGAAGGGGTTGGGGTAGACAGGGGAATGGGATAAGTATATCCACTATGCAAAAAGGGGCCATTTTACGGAAGTGTGCCAACACTTTTGTCCCTCATTGTAGGAATGCAAAATTGTGCTACTGCACACAAGTTGAGCCGTGCATGACACTGATTTTAACTGAAATTAAAGAAATCAAAGACATAATTATGTTATTGGTGGTGGGGGTGACATTGACTTATTCACGACCGAATTATAGGGCCAATTGGAATTACGTGATGACGTAATAAAAGGGCTGCGATATCCAGAATTAACGTCGATATGGTTTACAAGCTAAAAACTAACGCTGAAACTCGCGCACATGTACAACTTTTGATGAATTTCAAGGGTACGCGTACTGAAAATGTTTTTAATAAAGTGAATATTTCTCGTTCTTCACTTTATCCGATGGTTAAGGCGCAAACAATCACGGGTAGGGTAAGGATTGACACGTAGTGGGGATAGTCACTGGCCGGCCACGGAAATATGGAGCGTTAGTGCGGAGCGGCCGTCACTGCGTTCAATATCGAAACTACGGAAAAGTGAAGGTAAATTCATGGCCAATTCAATAAAAAACTAAGGACAGCGTAGCAAACATTGCAAGTGTCCACGAAAACAATTACTTTCAATCCCACCTCGTGACACCATGAGTGACATGATAACGCAACGCAAATAGCGTGACATGAGCGCATATGTCTGTGTATTTGGACTGTATTTCTCAAGCGAAACCCTGTGTTTTTGTCTATTGTCGGCAGAGAAAATGAAAAGAGAGCTTTGAAACGTGAACTGGTATTTGACTCTCAAAGAAAACGACAGCTCAAACTGAGGAAAACACTGCTTCCTTCGTGTTACAACGGTTAACCACGTTTCGGAAAACGAAAAGTAAAATGAGTCTGTTATGACCTCTTAATGTCCATATGTATTCTCGTGGTTAACCGTTGAAACTCCTTATTTGCACCACATCGCTGGAATTTTTCTTGCCAAGAATACGTATTGCGAAGTACTTTCTACATAGCGGAATCTTCTTTTGCCTTTCGTGAGGAATTAGCGCATAAAAAAGGAAAATTTTCCAGCGCACGGCCGTCATTGATCACATGTTATCCCGCTTTCCTTGTCATCAAGTGAACTTCTGGGCAAAAGTAATTGCTGTTTTGGCGATGACGCAAACTGGTGTGTCTATCTTGAAAACAATTTCTTTGGTATTCTGTGATTTACGAGCTGGGAAATGAAATAGTTGTCCATCCAACATCAATAAAAAAATTATGCCACTGAATAAATGGCAGGCGGTCATCTAAAATCATTACAAAAGTACATTCCAAAACCTGGTCTAACCTGTTCGACGCCTACCTACGCTAAAGGTTTGGATCACTTAGGTTTGAAAAGGTCTCCAAAAAAAACACACATCTATATATAGGACATAGCACAAACGGCTGGCCCATCATTTATGAGGTTCATAACCTGTATATTGTTCACGTCCTTTCACTAATGGCACAAGTCAATGTCAAAAATAATGCATGTCCCCTCAGTTACTCTGCAGTACTTCATTCGCTTAAGTTAATCATTTACCAGAACAATTTCCATTGCACCTTAGTGTTTCCATCCTTTTTCCACTATTGATAATACTTGTGAAAACATTACATCCGCTGCAACGGCATTGATCATAACACAAATGATTTCCTCTCGACCCCACAGGGTATCAGGAACGCGCGCGGAAGTACAAGATTAAGTGATGACATACGCTTCGTACATTTTACTCTACGTATACTACAAATCAGGACGAAACTTTACAAATTGTTGTTTCTAAAAAAAACAATTTGGCCCATAGAGTAACGTCATCGCACAAAAATTCAGCAGCGTCAAAAATCTAGCCGGAAAACACAGATACATATTTCAGACAATCAGGGACAAAAGTAGTTGACACACTTGTTTAAAACGGGTGCTTTTAGCAAACATTTAATTCATCTATTATTTCATTCTTTTTAAACGCCGTAAATCCCCTCACCCCCCGAATCAATGTTGTCTGAAGTAAAAAAAAGACTTGAGGGTCCAAAATTCAACATTGATTTTGGGGGGGAAGGGGTTGGGGTAGACAGGGGAATGGGATAAGTATATCCACTATGCAAAAAGGGGCCATTTTACGGAAGTGTGCCAACACTTTTGTCCCTCATTGTAGGAATGCAAAATTGTGCTACTGCACACAAGTTGAGCCGTGCATGACACTGATTTTAACTGAAATTAAAGAAATCAAAGACATAATTATGTTATTGGTGGTGGGGGTGACATTGACTTATTCACGACCGAATTATAGGGCCAATTGGAATTACGTGATGACGTAATAAAAGGGCTGCGATATCCAGAATTAACGTCGATATGGTTTACAAGCTAAAAACTAACGCTGAAACTCGCGCACATGTACAACTTTTGATGAATTTCAAGGGTACGCGTACTGAAAATGTTTTTAATAAAGTGAATATTTCTCGTTCTTCACTTTATCCGATGGTTAAGGCGCAAACAATCACGGGTAGGGTAAGGATTGACACGTAGTGGGGATAGTCACTGGCCGGCCACGGAAATATGGAGCGTTAGTGCGGAGCGGCCGTCACTGCGTTCAATATCGAAACTACGGAAAAGTGAAGGTAAATTCATGGCCAATTCAATAAAAAACTAAGGACAGCGTAGCAAACATTGCAAGTGTCCACGAAAACAATTACTTTCAATCCCACCTCGTGACACCATGAGTGACATGATAACGCAACGCAAATAGCGTGACATGAGCGCATATGTCTGTGTATTTGGACTGTATTTCTCAAGCGAAACCCTGTGTTTTTGTCTATTGTCGGCAGAGAAAATGAAAAGAGAGCTTTGAAACGTGAACTGGTATTTGACTCTCAAAGAAAACGACAGCTCAAACTGAGGAAAACACTGCTTCCTTCGTGTTACAACGGTTAACCACGTTTCGGAAAACGAAAAGTAAAATGAGTCTGTTATGACCTCTTAATGTCCATATGTATTCTCGTGGTTAACCGTTGAAACTCCTTATTTGCACCACATCGCTGGAATTTTTCTTGCCAAGAATACGTATTGCGAAGTACTTTCTACATAGCGGAATCTTCTTTTGCCTTTCGTGAGGAATTAGCGCATAAAAAAGGAAAATTTTCCAGCGCACGGCCGTCATTGATCACATGTTATCCCGCTTTCCTTGTCATCAAGTGAACTTCTGGGCAAAAGTAATTGCTGTTTTGGCGATGACGCAAACTGGTGTGTCTATCTTGAAAACAATTTCTTTGGTATTCTGTGATTTACGAGCTGGGAAATGAAATAGTTGTCCATCCAACATCAATAAAAAAATTATGCCACTGAATAAATGGCAGGCGGTCATCTAAAATCATTACAAAAGTACATTCCAAAACCTGGTCTAACCTGTTCGACGCCTACCTACGCTAAAGGTTTGGATCACTTAGGTTTGAAAAGGTCTCCAAAAAAAACACACATCTATATATAGGACATAGCACAAACGGCTGGCCCATCATTTATGAGGTTCATAACCTGTATATTGTTCACGTCCTTTCACTAATGGCACAAGTCAATGTCAAAAATAATGCATGTCCCCTCAGTTACTCTGCAGTACTTCATTCGCTTAAGTTAATCATTTACCAGAACAATTTCCATTGCACCTTAGTGTTTCCATCCTTTTTCCACTATTGATAATACTTGTGAAAACATTACATCCGCTGCAACGGCATTGATCATAACACAAATGATTTCCTCTCGACCCCACAGGGTATCAGGAACGCGCGCGGAAGTACAAGATTAAGTGATGACATACGCTTCGTACATTTTACTCTACGTATACTACAAATCAGGACGAAACTTTACAAATTGTTGTTTCTAAAAAAAACAATTTGGCCCATAGAGTAACGTCATCGCACAAAAATTCAGCAGCGTCAAAAATCTAGCCGGAAAACACAGATACATATTTCAGACAATCAGGGACAAAAGTAGTTGACACACTTGTTTAAAACGGGTGCTTTTAGCAAACATTTAATTCATCTATTATTTCATTCTTTTTAAACGCCGTAAATCCCCTCACCCCCCGAATCAATGTTGTCTGAAGTAAAAAAAAGACTTGAGGGTCCAAAATTCAACATTGATTTTGGGGGGGAAGGGGTTGGGGTAGACAGGGGAATGGGATAAGTATATCCACTATGCAAAAAGGGGCCATTTTACGGAAGTGTGCCAACACTTTTGTCCCTCATTGTGGCTTCGAACAACTGGACTGCATGGCTTTGCTTTCCTCCAGAAGATTTGCAAGTCGACATAGTCGTAGGTCATGGAGTTAAACTCGGTAAACAAGCACAGGTCTTCCAGATTTTTAGAAAGTGCAAATGGGTTCAAATGGTGCACACAGACCCAGAGGAGCTTCGGATGTTCAAAAGCTACTCCAACCTAAATTCAAAGGGCGAAGAAAAGGACAAGACTGAAGTAGAACTGTGTAAAATGGCAGATCATATTGTCGGAATTGGACCTAAGTTGAGCGAAGCCTTTCGCTCATATCTTCGTGGCTGTCAAAAAGATGATCATGTTCTTGACTTCACTCCTGGAGTATTTGATGAGTTTGAGACTGTGAGCCAGGTTCCTAGTGAAAGACAACAACGCAGTGTCTTGGTGTTTGGTCGTGGAGACGTAGAGGATTTTGAATTAAAAGGATTTGACATCGCTGGCAGAGCGATTGCTGCATTAAAAGATACTCGTCTTGTGTTTGTTGGAGCCCCGGAGGGAAAATATGAAGAAATAGCTCAACGGTTAAACAGATATGGTGTTCCTTTTAATCGCTTGAGGGTGAGAGGACTTGTAGAAGACCGAGAGAGTTTAAAGCGCTTGTTTCAGGAAGTAGATCTTGTAGTCATGCCTTCAAGAACAGAAGGCTTTGGGTTGACAGGACTCGAGGCTCTTTCAGTTGGTCTTCCTGTGGTTGTCAGTCACAACTCGGGTTTTGGAGAAGCACTGAGCAGTGTACCCTTTGGTTCGTCATTTGTGGTTAACTCAGTGGATCCCGCCGATTGGACCGCGGCCATTCAGAAACTCTGGGACAAAGACAGGAAAAGTCGACTTGACGAACTGAAAACGTTGCGTGATTTGTATGGCGGGAAATACAACTGGGGGGAACAAATGAAGGAGCTCGTTCAAAAGATGATCTGCTTGACTCGCGGTATGAATGTAAATTACTGTTTCCTGCTCAACACAATGTTTCATTGCGCATAAGGAGAAATAATTGCTCAGGTTCTTGCTCTAAAATCTTGAAAACAGATTTCAGTTAAAAGCGGATTACAGGAAACTGTGATTTTGTATTTTGAGAAAAAATAGTGATATAGTCTATGGAGAGCGGTTACAACCATCTCGCCTGTACTTTTTTGCATATTTATTTCATGCATTCATATTCAGTGCAATAGACTGTTTTCGTCCGTTTCATTTCAACAGATGATTCTTTGAAGGTATTAAGCTCATTAGGAAAAAAACGCAAGGCTTCTCAGGGGATAGAAGACATGACTGAGGACCATGCAGGTATCTTCATAAGGAATAATAAATATTACGTGAATGATATTGCCTGCGAAGAAATATTCTTAATTATGTGAAGGTAATTTTTCTCTCTGACATACATTCGCACTCATATACGCACATATATTCCTGGAGGTTTACACATAAATGTATTTAGAGTGGGGGTTTTGGTCTTCCTGAACTGGGGTTAGCCTCCACTCTTCCTCATTTATTAAAAAAAATAATAATAACTTTCAGGGTCTGACATCAAGGGCACCCAACAAAGGTTTTCTGTAAAATATCTGTTCAGTGAAGCAAATATTGCCCAGAATTTTCTATTATTTGAGGACGGCTAAAAATTTCTAATGATTCATCTGATATTTTGCATAGAAAGTCTTCCTCTGAAACGTTAACCTGAGTATCAGGCCTTCCTAAGGGGCTAGGGGAGAGGAGATTATTTTCCCCTTTTCCCTCAGAAACGCCTGATACTCAGCAACGTAGTCACGAAATTTGGTTCGAGAACAAAAAATGTGAATAGGCATCGGTTTATGGCCTTTCACGACAGGGGTTTTCCCTTCCTATCAAAATAGAGTTTGGCATTTGAAAAAAATTGGAAAATGTTGTAATCACCATTTTTGTTTTGTTTTTGCAACCTTGTTCGCATCTGTGACAAACGAAATTTTTCTTATAACCAGATACATCAATTAAACGAACTTTAATTGGTCATTGGTCTGAACTCATTATAAGCTTGTATTTTGATTCTAGAAAACCTAACTCGTCGTGCGTAGGATATTTGACCTTATTTGGACCTACTTCATCGTGAATTTGTTTGAAGTTGACTCGGATCAGATCTATTTGTCTTTGGAAACCTGGAATGTTTATGGAATAAAGACACAGTTTAACATACGCGAAGTTTGAGTTTTCGACTTTGGACCGCAACACCTGTTGACAGTTTTTTTTGCAAACAAACACAATTTTAAGTTGTGCGCACAGGGCCTTATTTCAAGACCATCCCGTGACCACATATGAATAACTGTCAACCTCCTCATTGTCAAACTCCATTAAGCATAAATGTATATCGGTCTCCATATTTTTCGTTTTCTCATTTTCCATTTCCGTGCAGTTCTCGTTTTAAATATTTTCTATGAATTTCTTCCTTCCATCCACATTTCAAAATTATCTTTCTAGGACAAAGTGCCTCATCCATTCATAAGAAGTTTGTTTCAGCTGATATCGAAGACACTGATTCCAAAGCTGATTACAAAGTGCAGACTGTTGAGGCGCTTCATGCTGCTGCAAGTTATGGAAACATTGAAATCATTGAGTTACTGCTGTCTCGAGGATTTGAGGTTGATTCAAGGGACAGGGAAGGTGTGACTCCACTGATGTGTGCAGCTCTGAATGATAAACCAGGTGCTTTTCAGATTTTGATACAAAAGGGTGCTGATCCATCTTTGAAAGATAACAATGGGTGCAGCCTGCTCCACTTTGCTGCACAAGGTGGAAATATATCCGTTATTAACAAGTTGTTATCGCTTGGTCTTGACATTAATTCAAGAGACAGTGATGGAGCCACTTCACTTATGTTTGCATCTGCCTACGGGAAACAAAGTACATTTCAGCTGCTGATAGAAAACGGTGCTGATCTATCTTTGCAATACAACAATGGGTTAACTCTGCTCCACGCTGCTGCAAAGAATGGAAATACATCCATTATCTACGAGCTATTGTCACGTGGTCTTGACGTTGATTCAAGGACTAATAGTGGTGTCACTCCATTGATGAATACAGCTTCTTATGATAACGAAAGCGCTTTTCAGATGCTGATAGAAAACGGGGCAGATTCATCTCTGAAATGTATGTTTGGAGGCAGTGTTCTCCACTGTGCGGCAAAAGGTGGAAATACATCCATCATCAACAAGCTGTTATCACTTGGTCTTGACATTGATTCAAGGGAAAATGATAGCGTCACTCCACTGATGGTTGCAGCTGAAAACGGAAAACAAGCTGCTTTTCAGATGTTGATACAAAACGGTGCTGATCCATCTTTGAAAGGAAACATTGGGTCCAGTCTGCTCCAATTTGCTGCAAGAGGTGGAAATACATCCATCATCAACGAGCTGTTATCACTTGGTCTTGACGTTGATTCAAGGAACAATGCTGGTGCCACTCCACTGATGGTTGCAGCTTTTTGTGACAAACAAAGTGCTTTTGAGATGCTGATACAGAATGGTGCTGATCCATCTTTGAAAAGCAAAGATGGGTCTAGTCTGCTTCACTTTGCTGCACAAGGTGGAAATACATCCATTATGAACAAGCTGATATCACTTGGTCTTGATATCGACTCAAAAGACCTCAGTGGTAAAACACCTGTAATTATGGCGATAGAGAAAAATAATTCTGAAGCAGTAAAATTTTTGATATGTAAGGGAGCACTTTTATAAATCAGCTGTATTACAGCGGTGATTATATTGGCGTGAACACCTAAAATATGTCTGGAATGTTTATTGTGTTGCAACCAATCAAAGGTGAGATCTTCACACCACAGAAACCACAGGCAACGAACGGTTTCCGATCGGTCATGGAACAATTTATTTTCGTTTCGTTTAAGGATACAAACTGCCTTATTAGGAATTTAAAACACCGCTGTTCCCCAAGATCAGTGCCGAGGACGGCATCCAGGACATCGTTCGATTTTAAAAAGAAAAGTTTTAGAAGCCAATGCGACGCAAGGGCGACCAACAGCAAGTGGTAACGTTTACGCATGCGTCAAACTTGCTGGGAAGCACTTGTTGACGGGAAATCGTAATGGCCGAAAGCCGTTCGGAAGCACTTTCAAGGGAGATTTTTTTGCATACCCAATCGACAACAGACATGTCTTATAGATTGGATACTTTGGCTAAGCCATGTTGAAGTGTCATGTATGGGAGAAGGACCATTTAGGTGGTTAATTTTCGTCCATTTGGCTCCTCTGATGAAGCAGATAAAGCGTTCACGAGGTCGTTTGTTGTGATACGGTAGTTTCGAAAACGAAGCACTCGAAAACGAAGACCGAAGCACGAAGCACCCAAAACTCGAAAACCCTAAATCGAAAACGAAGCACCCTAAATCTCGAAAACGAAGCACCCTAAATCTCGAAAACGAAGCACCCAAAACTC